AGGAGTAGGCAGGTGGAGTTATAATTTTAGGGGTGGGAATATAGGAATGGATTGTAATAAGGGGTGGAGAATAGAGGGAGTATATTAAGCGGCCATTTTAGCAAGTGGCCATTTTAACCAGAATCTGCACTTACCTGTTAATTGTCTTGGCAGGTCTGTGTGGTTTCTTGTTCTTTATTTTTGCAGATGGCTTCGCTGGACGAGATCCTGGACGGAGTGAGAGCGGCTGTGCGTGACAGGGGGATGGCCTGGCTTCAACAGCAGCTGGGGGTTCCTGGGACCAGTGATGCACCCCCTGCGGCAGCGGAACGGCGGTCGGTGAGGAGGGCGAGACCGCCCCAGCGGCTGAGTCCGGGCGTGATGCCTGCAGCACGGCGGCGTCTGAGCCCGTCCGCGGACGCGGGCGGGTCCCTGGCTGTGGGGGCCGGCCGGGAGGAGGCAGAAAAAACGCCGCCGGCACCGTCTGTTCGACGTGGTGCCGGTCGGGCACGGACGGCGATTAGGCCGGTGACGGCTCTGCGGCCTACCACGCGGAGCGCCGCCCGGCGGACGGCGAACGGCAGGGTGCCAGGAGCGGCGGCGGCCTCCAGGACAGCCATGTGTGCAGAGGCCAGTGGAGGGGATGACACAGCCCAAGGGCGTCCCGGTGAGTCTGCCTCCGGTGTTACACCCGGGCGGCAAAGGGGCAGGCAGTTGGATGTGGGAGACGGGCTGACAGCTCCCCTGGGGGCAGAGGGGGCTCATACCAGTAAGGGCTCAGTGGGTACGGCCAGGGTTGGGGCCAGGCATGACAGCAGGGGGACAGCCGACCGGGTTTCCCAGCTAGGACGTCAGAGGCAGGCCAAGACAGCAGCAGCAGGGGATTCTGGCTGCCTGGGTCAGCGCAGGGACCCCCTTACTGACGGGTTGGCGTCACAAGGGGTCCTTTCTCAATGGTCTGATGCGGATTCGGACGCTGGGGTTAGGAGGATACGGGGGGACCGCAGGTGCACCTCCCAGGGGCGCCCAGGAGTTATACACAACCCCAGACCTGGAGTCAGCAGGGAACGGCGCGAGGAAAGCGCCAGGCAGGAGGGTACATGGAGCGCCAGGGAGAGGAGCCTGTCAGCTGATAGTTGCAGTAGGCCGGGGTCGGCCTACAGGGGCAGGGGGAGGACGGAACGGCGCAGCGCTTCTGGGTCCTCAGGACGAGAGCTCCCAAGGACAGCGGGATAGCAATTGCGGCCAGGAGGGCCAGGCAACTAAGCGGGGCAAGCGTAGGAACGCTGGAAGGGAGCGTAGGGAGGAAGGGCGGGTAGGGAGACCCATGAACAGACTACCCAGGTGTTCTTCTCCTTACAGGTCGCGGAGCATTACACCAACGGTCCCGAGGCGGGACCAGGCAGAAAGGAGTCGGCGTCTCTTGGACACTCCGGAGCCGTGCGCGGTGGATGGAAGGATAGCGACCCGGCGGCCCTCCGCGGCCGGGGGCTCTGGCGGTGAGTCATCTGGTACACCACACACAGATTCATGGTTAAGCGGTTTAAAGTCGTTCTTAGATTCTTGGGCCAGTAGGGAGGGGGCTTCTCCGCAATTCTCGAGGGTGTGGGGTCCGGTGGCGGGTCTTACGTCCGCGGGACAGGCTAGCACGGGGAGTGATGACACCAGGGTAGCCGCATCGGGTCGGTAGGGGGGACGGGCGACAAGACGGACGTAGGCGGCGAGATTACCGACGCAGCGCGGCAAAATGTTCACGTTTCTTTCGCGGGCCCCTTAGGCTGTCATCTTAGGGCCGAGTTGAAGGACAAGATTTGGAAAGGTGAGTTTGTGGAAGTTTTTGCCCTTCTTCCTCTGGAGGAGTTTCTTGACTTGAAAGAGGAGGACAAGAAGGACGCAAAGAAGGAGGAAGAAGAGAAAAGGCGTAGATATAGGAAGATCCCTAAAACATTTGCGAACTGGCTACGGGCCTTTTGCATATTGGCCAGTGTTATCGGGGAAAAATTCCCCGACCGCTGCTCACAACTTTTTTGTTATCTGGACGGGATTGGGGACGCGTACCGAACATACGGGGGAGTAGCATGGTGGAAATACGATGAGCAGTTCCGCCAGCGTTTAGCGGCGAATCCTAGTATGCGGTGGGATCAAATGGACCTACCCTTATGGATGAGACTGATGATGGCGCAGAAGGCTGCGCCCTTTCACGGGGCGGCCGGTGCGGTACCCGGAGGATCGGCACCGGCCGGACAAAAGAAGGGTTTTTGCTGGCTCTTCAACGAGGGTCAATGCAAGTGGGGTACATCGTGCAGATTCAAACACGAGTGCTCTGGCTGCGGGGGTACACATGGGGCTAACAGGTGTTTCAAGAGAGGGAAGCCGGCTTCAGGAGGAGGTCCCAGCAACGCAGCGGCCTCCGCAGCTACCGCTGGGGGCAACCCCAGTGAAGGTAGGCGTGATGCTGCCGTGGCTAAGGCGTTACGCTAACCGAGCGGACGCAGAGTTTTTGAGGAGGGGGTTTACAGAGGGGTTTACTATTCCATTTAAGGGGAGGGGACCAGGGGCTTTATGTGCGAACCTGCGATCCGTACGGGAACATCCAGGGGTGGTGCGGGACAAATTGCTGGCGGAGGTAAAGCTGGGTAGGATGGCAGGACCTTTTGTGGCCCCGCCACTGCCAAATTTGAGGGTGTCCCCGCTCGGGGTGGTCCCCAAGAAGGAACCAGGCAAATTCCGTTTAATACACCATTTGTCTTACCCAAAGGGGACGTCAGTCAATGATGACATTGACGCAGCCCTAAGCTCGGTCTCATATGCATCATTCGACCAGGCGGTCGAGTTGGTTCGGAGAGCTGGGCGGGGGGCGTTAATGGCGAAGGTTGACGTGGAAGCAGCTTTTAGGTTACTTCCTATTCACCCGGAATGTCACCATTTATTGGGGTGTTGTTTCGACGAAGCCTTTTTCGTCGATCTATGTTTGCCCATGGGCTGTTCTATTTCCTGCTCGTACTTTGAAAAGTTCAGCTCCTTTTTCGAATGGGTGGTACGGCAAGAGTCAGCTGGGGGTGCGGTGGTGCACTATTTGGATGACTTTTTGTGTGTAGGGCCAGCGGGTTCCGACCGCTGTGGGCAGATACTGCGGGTCTTACAGTGGGTGGCACATGCCTTTGGGATCCCGTTGGCCGGGGAAAAGACAGTGGGCCCGACGGAGTGCTTGAACTTCCTAGGGCTGGAAATCGACTCGGTAAAAGGGGAATGTCGGTTGCCGGTGGATAAGCTGTTGGCTCTCCGCCAACGGGTGGGGGAAGTACGGGGTTCCAGGAAGGTGACCTTAAGGGGCCTGCAGTCTCTTGTGGGGAGCCTGAATTTTGCATGTAAAATTATCCCTATGGGGAGGGTCTTTTGCAGGCAGCTGGCTCGAGCTACGTGTGGAGTGCGGTCTCCGGGTCATTACATCCGGGTCTCAGCTGACATGAGGGCGGATTTGGACGTATGGATACACTTTTTACGGGAGTTTAACGGCCGTGTCTATTTTAGGGATTCAGCTGCGACGTCGGAGGACATAGGTTTATTTACCGACGCCTCGGGGAGCGTGGGTTTTGGGGCATTACCTGGGGGGGAAATGGTGCGCGGAGGAGTGGCCTAAGTCGTGGAAGGAAAGCTCCTTGATCAGGAATCTGGCCTTCCTGGAGTTCTTCCCAGTGGTGGTAGCAATAGCTCTGTGGGGCGAGGAACTCGCGAACAGGAAGGTGGTTTTCCACTCGGACAACATGGCGGTGGTGCAAGCGATCAATAGTATTTCGGCTTCATCGCTGCCTGTAGTACGGTTGTTGAGACACTTGGTTCTTCTTTGTATGTCATGGAATATTGTTTTCAGGGCCCGGCACGTTCCGGGCTTGTTGAATGTTGTTGCTGACGCGCTGTCTCGTTCACAGTGGGAACGTTTTCGGGAAGCAGCTCCGGGCGCACAAGATACGGGACAGGCGTGCCCAGACGGCATATGGCAGCTCGGGACATCGTGCTTGGGGATTTCGTAAGGAGCTCTTTAGCGCCAGGCACCTGGGCGGCGTACACTAAGGTTTGGACGGAATGGGAGGAGATGGTAGGGCAGACGGGAGGGGAGTCCTCTGCGGCAGGTAGGTTTGACACATTGTTATGGTTGTTGTGTCGGTTACTGGCAGGCGGGGCCTCGCCCTCCAGGGTGGACCGTTACATGTCAGCGCTGGCGTTTTGGTTTGTTTAATGGATGGGAGGACTTAACCAAGAATTTTATAGTGAAACAAGCCCTGCGCGGCTTCCGTAAAGGGAAGAGGACCGTGGACACGAGGCGGCCGGTGTCGTTTGCCATCCTGCAAGGGCTGGTAGGGGGGCTGCGCGATGTGTGCACATCGTCGTTTGAGGTGGTGTTATTTTCGGTAGCGCTTGTTTGGGCCTTCTTCGGGGCGTTCCGCATTGGTGAACTGGTCAGCAGTAACAAGTCCGGAGTTAACGGGCTCAAGTTTGAGGACGTAGTCGTTGGCCGGGACAAAGTCCAGATTCAACTGAGACGCTCCAAGACGGATGTTTTTGGGAGAGGAAGGAAGGTGGTATTGTTCTCGTTACCTGGGTCGGAGGTCTGCCCGGTGGCGTGCGGGCGCGAGTTCTTACACATTCGCCCAGAGGAGTCAGGGTGCTTTTTTATTCATGAAGACGGTTTTGCACTGTCACGTTTTCAATTTATACGGGTATTTCGCATGGGGCTTAAGCGGTTGGGCCTACATCCCATGCAATTTGGCACTCATTCGTTTCGGATCGGGGCGGCAACGGAGGCGGCACGACTGGGCCTGGGGGACGAACGGATTAAGCAGATCGGTCGGTGGGAATCCATTCGTTTTCGTTCATATGTGAGACCAGATTGGTTGGTATAACGTGGTTGTGGTCAGGTTGGGGGGTTGTCAATACGTGCCCCGCAAAGTTAATTGATTCTGTTTCTTTACAGGTATGGTTGCCTGGTTGGTGGGTCACTCTTACGTTTTTTGGGCGCAGAAGAGGGCCGCAGTTCGGAGGAATGGAACACAGCTGGGTTTTCTTCTGGAAACGGTGGAGTTACAGTGGTTTGGTTATCGTGGTTTCAGTTGGCAGAACATTAGTGGAGTAATTTTTAGGATGGTCTCAGGGGGGGCTTCCCCTGATATACTACTTATTCACGGTGGGGGTAACGATTTGGGATTGATTCCTCAGAGGGAACTAATTAGGAGAATGAAACGGGACCTGGATCGGCTACGGGAGCTGGTGCCTGGTGTGGTGGTAGTATGGTCCGAGATGGTGCCGAGGTTTAATTGGAGACATGCCAGGGACTCAGCTGCTGTGGCGCGATGCCGGGGAAAAGTGAATAGAGCGATGTCAGTTTTCGTCCGGAGGTCGGGCGGGGTTACAGTACGACACTGGGAGTTAGAGGGCATGTTGCCTGGGTACTTTCGCAAGGATGGGGTACACCTTTCCGAAGTGGGGTGCGATTTGCTAAATTTAGGTTTTCAGGAGGGCATAGCTCAAGCCCTATTTTTGTATGGTGGGGGGCGCTCGAGACGTTAAGGTATCAAGTCTCGGGCTATGGCGGGATAGGGCTAGGGTAATTGGGATGGAAGAGGAGTAGTAAGTGGCTAGGCTAAGGTTAGGCTGTATTAGGCCAGAGTGGTAAGTGGTCTGTTGGTTCGAGCTCTTCGGTGGCTCCGAACCTGGTGGTATAGGGGTGTCTCGGTACACCCCTACAGTTAAGAAAGTTATGGTTATGGGGCCTCTTTGGTAGGCCGTGTGTTATATATTATGTGTTATTTATATTGTTATATATTGTTTATGGCATGGGGTCATTGCCAGGGGTAATGCTGTACGGAAGGGGGTTGGGGTAAATTTATTATTATATGGCAATGACCCTAATTTGTTATCTTGTTTATAATTACATAAAAATAAAGCTGTGGACTTTATATATTTCCAACAAAGAATTTGGTGTCTGTGTTTTTTGGGGTGGGGTTTTTGGGAAATGCCACAAGCCGAATAACGACTGTGCGCATGTCATGAAGCCCATGGATCAGCGCAGTCAGGGGAATGGGCCTTGACAGAGCCAAGGAGTAGGCAGGTGGAGTTATAATTTTAGGGGTGGGAATATAGGAATGGATTGTAATAAGGGGTGGAGAATAGAGGGAGTATATTAAGCGGCCATTTTAGCAAGTGGCCATTTTAACCAGAATCTGCACTTACCTGTTAATTGTCCCTCCCACCCTCCCTTGTTTTGTAATAGTTCCCGTTTGGTCACAGCGGCGGGATAGGGCTAGGGTAATTGGGATGGAAGAGGAGTAGTAAGTGGCTAGGCTAAGGTTAGGCTGTATTAGGCCAGAGTGGTAAGTGGTCTGTTGGTTCGAGCTCTTCGGTGGCTCCGAACCTGGTGGTGTAGGGGTGTCTCGGTACACCCCTACAGTTAAGAAAGTTATGGTTATGGGGCCTCTTTGGTAGGCCGTGTGATATATATTATGTGTTATTTATATTGTTATATATTGTTTATGGCATGGGGTCATTGCCAGGGGTAATGCTGTACGGAAGGGGGTTGGGGTAAATTTATTATTATATGGCAATGACCCTAATTTGTTATCTTGTTTATAATTACATAAAAATAAAGCTGTGGACTTTATATATTTCCAACAAAGAATTTGGTGTCTGTGTTTTTTGGGGTGGGGTTTTTGGGAAATGCCACAAGCCGAATAACGACTGTGCGCATGTCATGTGATTTCTGATACTGCAAAGCCTTCGTTTCGTTTGATGAATTTCTTTTAATTCCTTCAGCACATTATCCAGTGTGACCACACAACAAGGTGTGAGAGACATTCGCTGCGTTCGGTATAATACCACCTGCTATAACTGCTTCTTGGAGAATGCGGGATGGAAGGTGTTTCTGGTTTATTATCTAGAATAATACAAGTAGTTTGCTGTAATTCTCAGTTCTGCTAGAATATTTTACTCTGTATCAGAAATATGAAAAATTTACATATATGTTACAATAAGATACTGAGTATCAACCTTCACAAATCACTGGTTCTTCTGGTAATCCGGGGACCGGGGACCCAGGTAAGTGTCAAACCATTCAAACTTGAAAATGTTACGTATTTTTCTCAAGTTGTACTAGTGATAGGAGTTTTCCTTCAATAACTTTACAGTGAATTTATACAGTTAATGTAATCCATAATTTTCACAGAGAAAAAAAAACAATTTATCTGTAAATATTTAAAGGGGAAATTGCAGGTTTAAAGTTTAAAGTGGCACTGTCACCGTCTGGGGACTTTGATGAATTTATAAAGACCTGGTGACAATAGCGCTGGGGGGGGAGGGGGCAGGTATAGGTAGGATGTACCTGTCCTTCGTGAGTGCGGCCATCTTGATCCGGTGGGTCCTCTCCAGAGTCGACATCACTTCCGTACAATCATGCATGCGCGAGAGTGCAGCATTGAAGTCTATGGAGGACCTTGCAAGAACGCAGGATCCTCCATAGACACAGCAAATCCCCTGCAGCTATTGCTGGAGATGGCTGCCCGGATTGACTCTTAGACACCGCATTGTGTCTACGAAAATCAGGCAGAGGAAAATACAGAGTCAGTAAACCCTGGTTTGTTGTTAAAGTTTTCTCCCATCACAGCATTCTGTATAGACCATAAAGTAATTGTGGGGGTTTAATAAGCCAATACTAAAATTTGAATGAAAATCCATTCCCCCAGTATTACACCTATGCGGCCTTGTGACATTTTAATTACACCTAGATCATTGTAGTCGGAAGTTTTCTGGAAACACACCGGCCCCAGTTTTGGTGTTCTTATGGCAATCCCAGAAGAATTAGGGAGCTGTCTACTAAGAAGTTGAAACACCAAAATTATGAAAAACCTTTCCTTTTCATAATTTTGGTCTTTCAGACAACTTTGCTAATACTAATTAAAACATATTTACTATTAGTAAATAAGGGAGCTTAAATCTTCCCTCCTGCCCCCTGCCGTGCCGCGGGTAGGGGAATGTCCACCAAGCAGTCAGTGGCACAGGTCTTCCAATCCCCCATCGTGGAGCAACTAATGAAATAATTTTCGATGGGCAGGACATAGTGCCCCCTTCATGTTTCATCATTGGGGGCTATTAAATGAAATGTGGTGCTCTCTCCTTCTCACTCAAATTGCACGGTGTGGGAAAGCCTTTATTAGACATCTAGTGGTAAGTATTACAGTTTTGTTTTACAGGTATTTAGTTTATCCCCCTGCCACCAATGAGTGAAGGCTGGGGGGACAATTGGCCCACCAACATTTATTATTTAGGGCCACAATCCGCCACCAATGAGTGGGGGCGGAGAGGGGAAAAATTGGTCTACCCCCCACTTTATTATTTAGGGAGCCCACCCAGCGCCACACTAAACCTCCCTGTTATTATTAGAGACCCACCTGTCAACAGTTGGTGAGGGGGACACTATGTCCCCCCATTAATTTTTTTATTAGCCCACCACACAAGTTCCCCACCACACAATTTAATAGCCTCCACTTCTGGGGGATGAGGGGAACACAATGTTCCTCCCAGTTAATTATTCTATTAGGTGCCCCACCATGGAGGCAGGAAGGACCTGGATTAGCAACTGGGCAGCAATAGTTGCCCAATCGCTTGTCTTTTTTTAGAATAGCATTCAGCCACTGCTACTCGTGGCTCAGTGGGAAGAGGCAGGATGGAAAATGTAACCTTCCTTATACTAATATGGGGGTCATATTGATCCCTACAGGCGATGGGTGAGGGGCGTTTGGGGGGATTTAAGAAGTGGCAGGGAGCACAGATCCACAACGTTTCTATTTGGAAATATTACGAGGGAACTGCGAGCTGTGAGATCCCTCTTTGTGATATAAAATGAACGAAAGAATGAACAGAGAAAATTTAATCCAACAAGCAATTCATTCTTAGTTTCATTTGTTGTAATTTGTATTCGTTCATTTGTCTTCCAGACGAATAGATGAATAGTTTAAATTCGGAGAAAAAACTTGTTTGCCTGAAAACCATTGCCACAGTTTACTGCTAACTAGTCACCATTCAGCCCATGCAAGTGTGTCATGTGATCTCTGTGTGTTTTAGCTGGTGGGTCTGAGACAGGAGGTCTGACTTGGTCGGAATCTGTTTCATAGTTAAGGACAGGGTAGCGTAGAGCTACATTGAAATGCAGTCTGTGAGGATCCATTTTATACAATTATACTGAACCAGAGGATTCCCAATAATTCTATTTGGATGAACAGCAAGCAGCAATGTGTTAAAGTTTGAACTTGATACAACGGACTCTTATTAAACCTAAATGATGATGTAACTATGATGTACTATTGATGATGTATTATTATTATATGCTGCAGATTTTCCTCTCTTGCTGTCACAAACCTTCCAGCTTGTCGTTCTGGTTCCTCATTAAATAAAGAAACCAATGTTTGAAGTCCAAGCTGGTTTGTTTGTGTCATTTCTCTCTCTACCCAGCGAAATGCGACTCTTGGCACCAGACAGCAAGCAGCACCAACGGAGCAAATCCCTACGGGACGTCGATACGGGCGCTTTAGCGCTATGCTTGATTGAGCAAAGTGATTGAAATAAGCTCAGGATTTAAGATTCTAATGATGTTGTTTAGGAATTTGCACAAAATAAATGCTGGTGATCTGCGTGGCCTCCCAGGTGGGATTTTAATACCAAGTATACGTCTACCATTTATTGATGAAGCCTCCAGGAGAGTATCTGATGGCTTCTGATTGCATCAGTGATTCGGCCTGTGGGTTTATACATACCGAGAAATAATCCGTGTCTTCGTAAACCTTCCACAAAGCTCAGAACAGAATGTATCAATAGTAAAATGTGGCATCAGTGCGTTTGTTGTAGATGTTGATACACAATTAGACTGTGTTTAATAGACATTTAACAGAAATTAATGTGTTAGTTCTAACGGCAGCAAGACATGTACTGGAATTACCTACAGATTATTATTATGAGTCACTTGAAATAAAATAAATGAGCTGGGTGAGTGGGTTGCCATTCATACACCTTAGAACGATCGCACCTGCACTGGGTACTGACTCTCCCTCCCACGTTGTCCTTTTTGGATTTTTGATACTTTCATAGAGGCGGTTTCTTTCATTCTTGCGTAGCCAAATAAACCACGGATTAATATTCTCCCTGTATGAAACAAGTTGACTACAATCGTGTTTTGAATATTTGTTTTATTTCTACCAGATTATAAAAAAAAAATCACTTTTTGCAGTTTGAAATGTTCCGGAGTGGGCATCTCCCATAGTGCCAGCTGCCGCTAAGCGTTGCTCATTTACATTTAAGCATGCGTTGCACCCTTTTTAGCTCATTAACAGAGTATTCTGGACACGACTAGAGTCGAAACCTTAGTAAGAGCACTGTATTTTAAGATGAGGAGGTTTCTATTTCAATAGTACAGACAGTTTGCCATCCGTGCAATCTTCCTGATGATTAATGTAAAAACCAGGTAATGTAATGCTAACGCTGTCACTTGAAGGAACAAAGGATAATGGCACATTCTTCACAAAAGTATTTTGCATTTAATTGGACTTTTTCCTGCAGCAGAAATTCGCAGTGATCTGCCGTGGGACACGTTATCATCCTCTCCGCAGAGACGCACTCACTGTAACA